AGGGTTCCAGGGATGGCTGAATGCATGACACACACACACTGGACCTATGAGATTGACAGCAGCTTATTAAACACATATATTCAGAAACCAGGAGAGGAGTACACCAAACACCATGCAGATCACTGGGTCAGGTTAATGAGAGAGAAAACTATTGCAGCAGCATAGAGAGCAGCAGTAGCTCCAGGAGGCAGGACCAGGTTGGGTAGCAATAATAAAAGTAATAAAAGTCTAACTACTTTGTAGGTATCTTAACTTGCTACTGAAAAGCTGATGCAAGCTGCTTTTATTATTTTTTTTTATTTTTATATTCTTTAAAAAAATTTTTTTTTAATCCTCACCTGAGGATATTTTTCTATTTATCCTCAGATAGAATGGGAGGGAGAGAGAGGGAGAGAAAGGGAGAGAGAGAAACATCAATGTGAGAGGGACACATTGACTGGTTGCCTCCCACGCAACCCTGACCAGGGCCAGGGACAAACTGCAACCGAGGTACATACACTTGACTGGAATAGAAGCTGTGACCCATTGGTCAGTGGGCTGACGCTCTACCGCTGAGCCAAACCAGCCAGGGCGCAAGCTGCTTTTATTTATTTATTTATTCCATTTATTTATTTGTTTGTTTGTTTTTGTTACAAATGTTTCTCATTTTTCCCTCATTGACACCCTCCTCCCCTTCCCCACCATCCATCCCATCCCAGCTTTGTTGTCTATGTTCATTGGTCATGCATACATGCATGTAAGTTCTGTGGTTTATCTCTTCTCCCCGCAAATTAAAACAACTATGAGGTATCACCTCACACCATCAGAATGGCCACCATCAACAAATCATCAAACAAGTGTTGGCGAGGGTGCGGAGAAAAGGGGACTCTAGTACACTGCTGGTGGGAATGCAGACTGGTGCAGCCACTGTGGAAAACACTATGGTGTTACCTCAAAAAATTAGAAATTGAACTTCCATTTGACCCAGTGATCCCACTTCTAGGAATATACCTTAAGAAGCCTGAAACACCAATCAGAAAGAATATATGTACCCCTATGTTCATGGCAGCACTATTTAGAATAGCTAAGATCTAGAAACAACCCAAGTGTCCATCAGTAAGTAGATGAGTGAATTAAAAAGCTGTGGTACATGTATGCAAGCTGCTTTTATTTTTTATTTATTTATTTATTTATTTAAAATTTTTTATTAATTTGTTTTTGTTACAAATGTTTCTCATTTTTCCCCCATTGACACCCTCCTCCTCTTCCCCCCCACCCCATTCCAGCTTTGTTGTCTATGTTCATTGGTCATGCATACATGCATGTAAGTTCTGTGGTTTATCTCTTCCCCCACCAAGCACCCCTCCTCTGAGGCTTGTCAGTCTGTACCCCACCTCTATGTCTCTGGGTTAATTTTGTTCAGCAGTTTGTTTAGTTCATTATATTCCACAAATAAGTAAGATCATGTGATATTTGTCTTTCTCTGCTTGGCTTGTTTTGCTTAGCATAATACTCTCCAGGTCCTTCCATGCCATCTCAAAGGTTAAGAGATCTCTCTCTCATAGCTGCATAGTATTCCATTGTGTACATGTACCACAGCTTTTTAATCCACTCATCTACTGATGGACACTTGGGTTGTTTCCAGATCTTAGCTATTCTAAATAGTGCTGCCATGCACATAGGGGTACATATATTCATTCTGATTGGTGTTTCAGGCTTCTTAGGGTATATTCCTAGAAGTGGGATCACTGGGTCAAATGGCAGTTCACTTTTTAACTTCTTTTTTTTAAAATCCTCACCCAAGGACTTTTTTTTTTTTTTTTATCCTCACCCGAGGACATTTTTTCTATTTTTTGTTCAGAGAGAGTGTGGGAGGAGAGAGAGAGAGAGAGAGAGAGAGAGAGAGAGAGAGAGAGAGAGAGAGAGAGAAACATCGACGTGAAAAGGACACTTCGAGTGGTTGCCACCCACACGACCCAACCAGGGCCGGGGACAAACTGTAACCGAGGTACGTGCCCTTATTGGGAACCGTACCCGGGTTTCTCTAGACCGCAGGCCGATGCTGTAACCACTGACCCAAACCGTCCAGGGCCAATTTTTAACTTTTTGAGGTAACACCCTAGCGTTTTCCACATTGGCTGCACCAGTCTGCATTCCCACCAGCAGTGTACTAGAGTCCCCTTTTCTCCACACCCTCGCCAACACTTGTTTGATGATTTGTTGATGGCGGCCATTCTGACAGGTGTGAGGTGATACCTCATTGTTGTTTTAATTTGCATCTCTCTGATGATTAGTGATATTGAACATTTCTTCATAGGTCTCTTAGCCATTTGTATGTCCTGTTTGGAGAGGTGTCTATTTAGTTCCTCTGCCCATTTTTTAATTGGGTTCTTTGTCTTCCTTTTGTTGAGTTGTGTGAGCACTCTATATATTTTGGAAATTAACCCCTTATCTGATGCATCATGGGCGATTATGGTCTCCCATATAGTGGGATCCCTTTCCATTTTGATGGTTGTTTCTTTTGCTGTGCAGAAGCTTTTTAGTTTGATGTAGTCCCATGCGCAAGCTGCTTTTAAATTGATCTTTATTAACCTGTCATTCAGTGTTCTTTGGTTGAAAAGTCTTCTCTTTCCTGTACTGTGGAATTTGGAAGTTCAGAAAAGATGTCGAAATGACTCAAATTCATCCCATCTTCAGAGATGAAAAGATTATCTTAAATGTAAGGATCTATTTTTAAAATTTTTGTTCTATATAAAAAGAATATTCTCTAGCCCTGGCCGGTTTGGCTCAGCGGTTAGAGCGTCGGCCTGCGGTCCTGAGAGACCCGGGTTCGGTTCCCGCTAAGGGCATGTACCTCGGTTGCAGTTTGTCCCCAGCCCTGGTCGGTTGTGCGGGTGGCAGCCACTCGATGTGTCCCTTTCACATTGATGTTTCTCTCTCTCTCTCTGTTCCTCTCTCTCCCTCCCACTCTACCTGAACAACAACAAAAAAAGAATATTCTCTAACCCGTTTCTTTATCAAATCATTTTCAGAATATTCTTCCTTATAGCTAGTAAAAAGTCCCTCATGCTAATGATTGTTTTTTTGCCTTTTGTTTTTTTAAACTGTGGTTAAATATACTTAACATAAAATGTACTATTTTAATCATTTTTAAGTGTACAGTTCAGTGTTATTAAGTATATTCACAATGTTGTGCAACCATCACTGCTACCCTTTTCGGAACATTTTCATCATTCCAAACAAAAACGCTGTACCCATTAAATAATAACTCCTTACTCCTCTCTTCCCAAATCCCTGATAAAGTTAGTTCTTGAGTCATGTGAATTAGTCTTAGCTTCAAAACTAGGCAAGACCGAATGAATATCCTCTTCAGAGATTTTGGTCCTAAGAATATTTGGGGTGTGGGACCATTCTCATCAGAGCAAGAACTTCTTAAGGAAATTCAGAAATCCTGGAGTGTTAGGAGCATATCACAATGTCAGCAAGGGCCATGAAGTTAACATTAATACATGAATCAGTGGACATGAGAGTGTAGGGTATTGAAGTTAAACAGAAACAAACTTGTTCTGCCTAAATGTATTTATGTTCAGATTTTCATAAAACACTCAGCTAAACATTCCAACCATTATTGAATCAACCAAAGAGTCACAAGTTTGAGGTCCTTAATCAAAAGTCCTGCCAATAATCCATCTTCATGAATAGGCACAGGCTACAGTCTGTAGAGGCTCTTCTAGAAAATCAAGCTCCAAGATGAGCCTCATTCATGTGGCTACCTGAAGGGTAGTGTACAGTCTTTTCTCACCCATCTCAAGCTTGACCACACAGACAGGAAGGAGTCCTTTTTTTTTTTTTTTTTTTTTTTTTTAAAGGACAATAGTTATGTCCTTTCCTTGCCACATTAGACATACTACTCCAGGAAGAGTCCATACTGACCACTTATTTATTGCCTGTCATCAAAACCCTCACTTTCTGAGACTTAACAAGACATTGCTTGCCCTATCCTCTTGTGTGGTTTTTAGTTATCTTCCCACTACAGGTGATGTTGTTTATGGAGTTCCTCTGACCTAGCCACTGTCTCTTATAGGGCTTGCAGCATACATATAGACTCAGTTACCTGGAAATAGATGCCCAACTACTCTCTCAAAGGAGAGAGCTGAGCCATCAGGGTATAGGAAATAGGAAGAGCATGAAAGAATATATACTGCCCATGACCTTGGCATCTTTAGGCCTCGGCCCTGCAATCCATAGAGATAACCAGATACTCTGATCTGAATACTGAATCACGTGAGCTTCTCTTAGACCAGTGATTTTCAAGTGGTGTGCTACAAGAACTTTTAAAACATGCAGTACTTGCCCTGGCCAGTTTGGCTCAGCGGTTAGAGCGTCGGCCTGCGGTCCGGAGAGACCCGGGTTCGGTTCCCGCTAAGGGCACGTACTTCGGTTGCAGTTTGTCCCCGGCCCTGGTTGGTCGTGCGGGTGGCAGCCACTCGATGTGTCCCTTCACGTCGATGTTTCTCTCTCTCTCTCCCTCCCACTCTATCTGTACAAAAAATGGAAAAATATCCTCGGGTGAGGATAAAAAAAAATTAAAAAAATAAAAATAAAAATAAAACATGCAGTACTTGATGATTTAGTCAGGGGCACTCACCTCTTTTCCCTTAGAATTTATATATAAAAAAAAAATGACAACAGTCAACACAACAATAGCCATCTGGTGTGAATGAATCAAGATTATACCTATTTTTTTGGTCAGATCGGCCCCCCAAATTTTTTTTTGGTGTGCTGCAGATTTTTAGTAATTAGTTTGTGTGTGCCATGAGAGAAAAAAGGTTGAAAATTGTTGTTCTAGACAGATAAATGTCTATAATGACCCACAGGTCTTGTGAAACAGGAGGGCTTTATGATGCAGTCTGGTGGTCTGGTTGTATCCTCTGTGAGGCGGAGATGACAAGGTCTAGAATATGTAGTCATTAGGTTTCAAGACCTTGAAAGCCTAAGAAGAGGATGGCTAGGTTTAGATTATGTTGAGCCCTACATTTGTTCTGTGGGAAATTGGATATCCCTTATACACTTATGGCTCCATCATCATTATTGCGTTAATTATTTGGCAAGCGAAAAAGAACCACCAAGAATTGAAGTTGGGACCTAACAAGAGCTGTTGCCGGGTAGGGAAACACTATGACCATGACTGAACTGATTAAGCCTCAAATAAGAGTTTATCTCCTTATTTTCTCTTGTTACTCTTACTTCCTGCTTTTTTAATGGGGATATCCTCATTGGATCCCAGAACAGCTCCAAATTTGGGTGATTCTTCTGGTTAATAGACATTTAGAGCCTTGGATGGCTAAAGTCCTTTGGCTACTATACCATCTATCCTTTAAATTGTTCCCCTTTTTCTCCTATCTCATTCTGTTCTCTCCACAGAACTTATTCAGGGAATGGGGGTGGAAGTATGGAGTATAGAAGTCCTTTGAAATAAAACAGAAATAAGAGAAAGGAAATGATGGGGTGAAAAAAAAGTAGAGTAGGGAAAAGAAATGTAAGAGAATGTATAAAATTGGTATACAGAAAAAAGTTGGGAAATGTTTTCAGGTTTTGTCTCATTTTAGACATGAAAAGAAAGTGTGCTTCAGCTTCATACTCTAACTTTGTTGTCTTTAGCATCAACGGAGAGTCAAACAAAGGGCTAAAGATAAAACATCAAGAGGTAAAGTCCCCATCTCTTCTGTGACTCCCCCTCGACTGTGGGCAAGGTTCCCATGGAATGTCTGTCTATGACCTCTGGTGCCAGGAGCCAGGTGCTCTAACCACTAAAGATTCCAATTCCCCAAGTCAACAAATCTCCCAGAAGACATTTTTTGGGGGGAAAATTGGAACCTGAGAATGTTCTATAATTCCCCACCTTACGCCAAGGAATAAACAATGAGAAAGTAGGGCAGAAGTCCTTAGCTGTGTCATTTACTAGTTTTATGACCCTGTGGAAGTCACTTCCTCTATCATTTTTTTATCCACAAAATGGGCACCTGAAGATCTTGCCTCACTCAGTGTGGGTGTGAAGATCTAATGAGATTAGGTCCTGGATAGCACATTGTAACTGGTTAAGTTGTACACAGACATGCCTTAGAGCAATGACTGTTGGGGTTTTCAGGCTCTTCTTATTCAAAGGCCTTCAGCTTCCTGTAGAATGTCCCTGAATCTTCTCTCATTCCATGTAACACTGTCTCCTGGTTTCTCAGCTAGGAGACATTCCTGCAAAGAAACTGAGAAGCCATGGGAGCTGCTCTCTGTCATGAAAAGGTGATCACTTGCTCTTTGTAGTCTCCCAACTCCAGCCTGGACTGTGATGATTTCTCTGCTTGGCCTGGGACAGGGATGAGGAGAGGGATGATGGCTGGGAGGGAGTCAAACATAGTGAAGGCCGGACCACTGGTTGAGAGGGTTGCCAGAGCAAATGGGGCTCAGACATCTCAGGAAGGAGGAGTCTCCTGGTTCTGCTCTGGGATAAGCTCACAGTGCTCCTGAAATTTAGAATTTGACTAGTACTTAATTCATAAAAGACCCTACATGGGTTTGCACTCAACCACAAGGCAAGTTATCTAGCCAAGAGAATAGATAAATAAATTGTCATTGTCATATTCTTACAGCTACACCCTTTCAAAGGCAGAGCCCTAAACCCTGCTGACATTACCTCCTCTGGTTCTGACTTCAGGGAGCCCAGTTCCTGGGACAGCCCTCAGCCAGGAACTTGTCATCTCAACCTCTCCTTAAAGCTCTAAAGAATGAGATTGGCTCTCAAGAAGTGTGTGTACATCTCACAGTCCCCTGAAAGCAGAGTTTCCACGGGACCTCATCTTCCACTGCATGGAAATACTAAATACCAGACTGTGGGCTGTGGCCTTCTTAGCCCCAAATGAGACTAAATCCAGGTTCTACCTGGTAATGGCCTTGGTTATGCCCCATCAGCTGACTATTGGCTCCCACATCATTTGTTCCCATCTCTGGTTAAGCTTCTCTGCCCAGATCAGCAGAAAACTTACCCACTTCCCAGTCACTCGTGGCCCTGTGCTCCCATGGGTTGTCTGAGACCTTGCCCAACAAGCCTCAGACCCTCAGCCCACCACACCATAACGTGCCAAGTGGCATTTTTCTAGAAATAAAAGTAGAGGAGTATACTCCTGGGATAGGGGGAGGACCTCAGGATGTACAAGACTCGGGAGGGCAGGGCCAGTCTCCAAGTCACACAGTTCCAAAGAGGTAGATGTCATTCCATCATTAACAGTGCCATGTTTCCTCTTCCAGCCAGAGCTGGTTTCCTCAGGAGGGAAATGTGCGGAGACTCCTGTGTGCAGATACCTCCTGCCTCATCTGCAACGCTATGGCTCTGGAGATTAAGCAGCTGCTGGCGAATGAGAACACCTTGATCTCTCCTACTTCATCGGGGCGATCACAGGGCTCCTCTTGCCTAGATATTTTGTCCATGTCTAGTTTGTCTTTTGATCAGAGTAAGGGTTCTCAACCCTCCAAAGAGCTTTCACTTTCATCTGCAACCCCCTTGATGTTACAATTAACGGATCACAAATCCTTAACCCAGTCAGCTGCCCAGTCAACTGATGCAGTCAGTATCCAGGATTACTGGGCTGACCACCAGCTAAAGCAGGGATTTCAAGCACCAGATGTGCATTGGGATGCAGGAGCTCTGTCTTCTTCAAGCCTTGAGGAGTGCAGGATTCCTGTGAAGCAACAGGACAAGAAGAAGAGCAACACCGAATGTGTCTTGGAGAAAAAAGGTCAGCAGCCCTTGAATACCCTTTCTTTCCCTGAATCCCGAGCTGACAAACCTAAAATACCCAATGACCTTGCAATCCCTTCACCTGTTGTTCCTGTATCACAAAAGCTGTGAGGTGTCTTTAAGTACGTATATATAAATTCATGCATTTCTATAGCCAAGGACTTCCAAGATCTATGGAAGAGTCCCTAGGACAGCTTATATCACACTGCTCCAAATATTTTCCAAGCCTGGAGGGAAAACAACCATTTCTTTGATCATAATGCTAACTCTAAGGCCTCCACTGAAAAGATGGGCTTTTATCTCCCTGACCTAGAGTCATGGGAGGTCAGCCAGTCCACCCAAACTTTCTGGGTTTTTGAAGGATCCACGAGAGCGAGAACGAGAGCACATATCACTGCAAGCAAATCCCAAGCTCCATGACTCTGGCTCTACCCTCTACTACCTTTTGGTTATTAAGTGGGATACACTGAGGGACACACTGAGAATTCATTGTGTTATCTGCAGCATAAACACAGCTATTTTTCTATGGTTCCTCTTTTTTGCACAGTCTCTGGTCCATCCCTGGAGAATTGCCACAAGAGGGGAGTCCCCAGTCCCTTTTTCTTCAATAATTTCTCCTTAATCTCTGTCCTGTCTGTTAATTTCACCTCCTTCTCACATTTCTGAATTTGTGCTTCTCCATCTGACGATCAACAAGCCCATATCAGTGTCCCATTTCCAACTCTGGTCAAGTGTGAAGCCTTGGAGTGACACCTGCTGCAAAGGCAGCTCCAACTTTAATGGGGCTTGCTAGCTGTTGCCCAGAGATCTCTGAAGGTGCAGAGAACTATGCAACATAAGCACTGAGACATATTAAGCAACTTGTCCCCTGAGACCTAGGGGCCTACCTTTTTGGGGAAACCTAGTTTAGTCCTGAAGAGGTAGGTGGTATTTTCCTGGAGCATCCCTAGAGCTGCTGATCTTCCACCTTTAGAAGTGGTCAGTTTAGCATGTTGATTCACCATTGCTAGGGCCTGCTCCAGAAGATCTACCAGTTTATCGAGTTTCTTCTATCCCCCAATAACCAGCAGCCCTTACCCTGGAGCAGCACACTAACCAGTGTGAGTGTCCCCTATTCTGCAGGCCTAGAGGCCAGTAGGGATAGGGACCTGTTCTGATTTGTTATGGCAACAGCACCAGTTCTCAGTTGCTTTCCCTGGCCAAGGCAATGTTGCAGAGCCATGTCAACCACAAACGGGGAAGAGCTGCTAGGGCATTGTCTCTGCCCATATCTGCATCTGGTGAGACTGAAAATTACTGGGTCTGCAGCATTTCAGGGGTTCTAGAAGCAACTTGGTTCCCTTATACCCCAGAAAGTAAGACCCTATGCGGAGGCAGCAATCAGCCCTTACACAGATCAGGAAGTGACACCCTGAATACTGACAGGTCTTGACCAGCAGCAACAGAACTTACCAGATGCTGTCAATGATCACCCTGATCAGCATCTGCATGGGTACCCTCCCAAGGAGTCACTGAGAAGCTGAGTCAGTGAGACAAGTTTTGGCCTTTCTGTAAGGGCTGCTGTCTCTTTACTATATGGCTCTCTCCAAGGCCAAGGCCCCAGCAATCACTAGTCAATCAGCAATCACAGAGATGGAGCCTGGGTTTGTTGGGGGTCCAACAGAGCCTCTGGCCCAATCTCATCTTAATAACAGTGTATAAGTCCTGGGCCATGTTTTTAAGATGCCAATGAAACTTGTGCAGACAGTGCTCAAGCATTCCAGATTAAAGTACAGGTGAATGGAGATGGTGCCCCTAGATAGCCAGACAGACCCTGGTACCCTACTCAATATACCCATCTTGGCCAAACTAAATTTTTTTTTTTTTTAATCCTCACCCGTGGACATTTTTCCATTTTTTGTTCAGATAGAGCGGGAGGGAGAGAGAGGAAGAGAGAGAAACATCGATGTGAAGGGACACATCGAGTGGCTGCCACCCGCACGACCAACCAGGGCCGGGGACAAACTGCAACTGAGGTACGTGCCCTTAGCGGGAACCGAACCTGGGTCTCTCTGTACCGCAGGTCGACGCGCCAACCGCTGAGCCAAACCGGCCAGGGCCAAACTAAATTTTTACCTGAAAAAGAAATTCCTGGAGATACGTTTGGGAAGTCTCATAAAGACAAAGGAGTCTGGGGAAGAAACTATGGCTGTCCCAAGGAGTCCTAACAACCAAGGGAAAGCATTGCCCCAGGAAGTCCCCATCCTACCAGGCATCCCATGTACCCCAGAGTGGTCCACCTTAAAGAAGAACTTGCAAATAAACTAAGGCAGTGCAGCAGAACCAAAAGCAAACGGATTCCAAAGCAGTCTTTAATGGTTCTGTCCTCTGGGCCTTCAAGATCTCACAACCCAGTGGGGACATGACAGTGATTCAAGTGCTGTGTGTTCAGCTAGAGGCCAGTGTGAACAACTTCAGGCTGGAGGAGCCCTAGGCTCCTTAGCCCCAGTTCTCTTCAAGGGTAAAGACAACTTTCTTTCTTTCTTTTTTTTTTTTTATCCTCACCCGAGGACATTTTTCCATATTTTGTTCAGACAGAGTGGGAGGGAAAGAGAGAGAGAGAGAGAGAAATATCGACGTGAAAGGGACACATCGAGCAGTCGCCACCCACACAACCCAACCAGGGCCGGGGACAAACTGCAACCGAGGTACATGCCCCCAGCGGGAACCGAACCCCAGTCTCTCCGGACCGCAGGCCGACGCTCCAACCGCTGAGCCAAACTGGCCAGGGCAGGGTAAAGACAACTTTCTACTCCAGCAGAGAAAATAGGGGACTCAGGGAAATTCAATACAGCAGAGAATTACAGAGAAGGGAGTGCAGTGTTGAGCCTCGCCCTAACCAAAGAGAACATCTACTCTGCTGAGATTCAGGGTCCAGTAGGGACACTTCTAAGTGGACCTCCAGAGCCCCTGACTTCCTAAATGTATCTCCAGGATCTTCCTCAAGTAGAATTTTGGTTTAACCAAGATGGTTGCCTTGAGTGAGTAGGGACTAGCAAGGGTGAATGTGGATCTATAGCGCCACCATCTTCATCCTCTCAGCTTACTGCTTCCTGTCAGCACCTTCACCAGCTTCTCCCTCACCTTGAGTTCCTAAAGCATCCTCCAGGATTCCTTGGGGCATAAGGTACAGATAAGAATGGTTTGCAGGGCTGTTTGAGCAAGCTGAATGGCCTCATCCAAATAAGGATTCCTGAGAATGCCAAATCTGTAGTGTCCAGAGCTTAAATGGCCTGACCTTACATGATCAACTTACTGGGCCACCATTCACTAGGTCAAATTGTGTTAAGTCCAGCATTTGAAGTAGCCACATTTTTCAGATCCAGACTTTGTAGGGACAACATTTGTAGGGCCACACTTTCTAGAGCCAGGAGCTATAGGGTCTGGTAAAGGCAGTTCATACTCACAAGAGCCCTACCCTTCCAGAAGCTGCAGAAGCTGGCTTGGGAAATAAGATGAAGCATACTCCACACTCGATTAACCCCAAGGTGAAAGATCAAGGGCATAAGGAATCCATTCTCCTCTCTAAGGATGAGACAGTGGCCAAAACCATGATCAAAAAGGTTGAGAAGAGTCCACCCTCCACCAAAGGCCCTGCGAAGCTAGCTAAGTTGGAGAAGACAACAGAGGACAAGAGTATCACCTTCTTTGATGCCCGCCAGAGCCTAGACAATGAACTCCAGCAACACTCCTTTCAGTCCAGACGCTCCTGGTTCCAGTGCCTTTCCCACAACTCTAAGCACAGTCCTCTGCTGACTTGTGCCCCTCAACCAAAAATCCATGCCAGGCCTCAAATTTCACCTCAGCAGGAGGCACTGAGCTATAAAAGAAGAAAACCCATTCCAGAAAAAAAGGAGTTTAGTGTTCCCCAAACATCTGCATCTCCCTAAAAAAGGCTGCCATCATTTCCATTAATGTGCAGGTGAGGCAGCACCTTCTCCAAATATACTCTATAACCTCTAAGCAATGAATCACCTGTTTTTGCCTCCTTATTTTCAATGCGGTATGTGATGGAGAAAGTAGAGAAGGTAGTTAGTACTTCCCATATGGTATAAGAGCTTAAACCCATATTTCAGATGGGTCAACATTCCATACAACTCTTTCAGTGCCACCATGAACTGCAGATAAAGGGACTTGAGCAGAAAAGGAAGACCCTTCTCTAAGGTGCATTGAAGGTAAAGATCAGCTTGAATTCTTCCCATGGTATCTTTGGGCCCCAGAGGAGCAATGTGGACATGAGGATAGTACAAGAAGTAGTGGCCAGGAATCCAGTGCATTTTTGGTGCACAATTCATAGATAGTTACCTCTGTATATGCCCACAACCTGGAGGAAAGGTTTTTAGAAGAGTGTGTACCATCCTCAGGGAGGTGCTTTGTGTTTATCAAAAGCACAAAGCTAATATGACAGATGTCAAAAGCAAATGACAGCATCTCCCCCACTCTGTGCCCTGTTGTTATTGATTAACTCTTTAAGGAGTAAGCCATCTGGGAACCTGCTGTAGCCCTGTTGCCTGTTCAACCCTCATTGCCTTTCACCTGCATGGAATAAAGCCTCCTAAAATGAGGAATAGTTAATGGGAAGTTCCCCAAAAGGGTCGTAATAAAAATGACTTTGAGCTGAGTTTTGCATTCAATAATTCAAATGTCCAAGTACTTTATATGCCAAGTACTATGCCAGACCCTAGGGACATAACAGTGAACAGCACACAGGCCCTCCTCCCATGGAGCTCATGGAATCATGGAGTAGACAGTTAAATAAAAAGTCACTAAAGGCAATGTGATAAGAGCTAGTTAGAAGAAATAAGTGATGGAGATGTAAAGTACAGCATAGGGAATATAGTAAATATTATACTATGTATGGTGTCAGATGGGTAGTAGATTTATCTGAGTGATCACTTAGTAAGTTATATAATGTCAAATCACTGGGTTATACACCTGAAACTAATGTAATATTGTATGTCAACTGTAATAGAAAAATAAAAATTATATTTAAAACAAAGAAATAAGTGACAGACACAGCAGGGCACTTAACCTAGTTTTGGGGAGTGTTCATGGAAATTTTTCGGGAAGACATGACATGTAGACTGTTTCAAAGAATGAGCAGATATTAGCCAGCAAGGAGGTGGCAGGTAGAGAAATTTCCCCAGGCTGAGAGTACAATATAAGCAAAGGCATGGTGTTAAATAAATGGGTATGCCATGTCAGAGAACAGTGACTTACTGGAGAAGTACCTGTAGTAAAAAAGTATATTAAAATGTTTGAAGGTTCAGAATGAAGGCGTCAAGCGGGGGAATGAATGGCATTCAATCATCTATTTTTTGTTCATTTCTCTAATATTGAGAGCCTATTCTGTGCCAAGCACTTGTATAAGCACTAGGAATACAGCAGTGAACAAAAGAGGGAAAAAACTCTGTCCCCAGTGAATTTACACTGATAGTGCACTAGAGAGGGAGATAAAAGAAGCATAAGTAAAAAATAGAGTATGTAGAAGGTGACCATATATATGCAAAAATACCAAGATAAAAGTCTTGGGGAAGACATAGGTGGGGTGCAGTTTAAATAGGGGATTCAGGACAGGTGTCACTAAGATATTAACATGTGAACATGGACTAGAAGAAGAGAAAGTAAACCACATGGATAACTGAGGAAGAACATTCCAGTCAGAAGTATAGCTAATGCACATGCTAGAGCATGCCTAGCCTTTTCCAGGAAACAGGATGGTGAGCCTGAAGCAGAATAACCAAGGAATTAAGTACCAGAGGATGAGGTCAGAGCAGTGAAGGGGGCAGATGAGGTAAGGACTAGAAGGTCATTGCAAAGGTGCTGACTCTGAGTAAATGGGGAAGTTATCAGAGAATCCGCTTAGATCTGAATTATATTTTAAAAGGATCAGTTAGGCTGTGATGCTACTAGAGGGTTGGGGCTACAGACCTGGGTAGAAGCAGGGAGGTTAGTTATGAGGTCACTCCAGTAATGGTATCAGCAGAGGAGATTGGAAATGTTTAGATGCTAGATTCTTTTTGAAGGTAGAAACAAGATTTTTTTTGTTAGATTAGATATGGACAGTAGAGAAGGAAACAAAGTCAAGGATGACATCAGTGTTTTTGGCTTAACTGGCAAGATAGAGTTGCCATTAACTGATGTGAGAAATACTACAATTGGAGTAGAGCAGCGATTTTCAACTGGTGTGCCGCAAGAATTTTTATCATCACCCGAGGACATTTTTCCATTTTTGTACAGACAGTGGGAGGGAGAGAGGGGAAGAGAGAGAGAGAGAAACATCGATGTGAAAGGGACACATCGAGTGGCTGCCACCCGCACGACCAACCAGGGCCGGGGACAAACTACAACCAAGGTACATGCCCTTAGCGGGAACCGAACCCGGGTCTCTCCGGACCGTAGGCGGGCGCTCTAACCGCTGAGCCAAACCGGCCAGGGCACGCAAGAATTTTTAAAACACACAATACCTGACTATTTAGTCAGGGGCACTGACCTCTTTTCCCTTAGATTGTCAAGTTAAAAAAATGGCAACAGCCAACACAATAGCTGTCCAGTTTGAATGAGTAAAAATTATACCTATTTTTTTGTCAGATCACTAAAAAATATATTTTGTGCTGCAGAATGTTAGTAACTAGTTTATGTGCACCATGAGATGAAAAAGGTTGAAAATCACTGGAGTAGGGTGATATGTGTGATTGGATGTGTGTGGGGTTGGGTAATTAGGAGTTCGGTTTCGTATAGTTAGAGATGGATATTGGACATTCAAGTGTATATGCTGATTAAATGATTTGGGCATATGACCCTGGAGTTCAGTTGGCCCACGCTTTAGACAGGCAAGCAGACAGCCAGATAAATAGATATACATAGGTAATGATAGGTAGGTAGGTAGGTAGGTAGGTAGATGATAGATAGATAGATAGATAGATAGATAGATAGATAGATAGATAGATAGATGAATTTAAAGTCATGAACCATGAGACTGGGCTCAGGAGGCAGATCAATCATTACATCAATGTGATGTGTGCTATAATGTGTGGGGTCCTGCCACAGGAGGAAGTACTCAGCTGAGGAGGAGAACCCTAGGGTCACATAAAAGGGTCACAATAAAAATTACCTTGAGAAGCATCTTACATTCAATAATTAAAATAGTTGAGTACTTATTGTGTTCCAGGAACTATGCCAAACATAACAGTCACCAAAACACAGGCCTTGCCTCCATGGAGATCATTATTTTATGGAGTAGACAGTCTCACATGCCCAAATTGTCTAATCAAAATATACACTGGCATGTCCAATATTCATCTCAAAAGTAAATTCCTGATTCCCTGTATCTCTCCACTACCACCCAATCACATATACCAAACCTGTTCTCATCACCGTATTTCCCACATCAGTTAATGGCATCTGTCTCTTGCCAGTTGTTCAGGCCAAAAACATTGGTGTCATCCTTGGTTTTTGTTTCTAACAGCCCACTTCCAATCCATCAGTAAATTTTGTTTCTACCTTCTAAACAAATCCAGAAAATGACCACTTCTCGCCTCCTCTGCTGCTATGCAGATAGTATTGCATCTAATCTCCCAGCTTCTTCCTGACAACGTTGTCTCCAACAGTCTATCCTCAACACAGAATCCTGACAGTCCTCAGGGAGGGTCTTGGCTACAGATGATTGGTTGGTTGGTTGGTTGGTTGACTGATGTATATAAAACCATGAGACCCAATAAGGTCACACAGAGAATAAGTATAAATGAAGGAGAGAATCAAGGTAAGTGCTGTTGCTTCCTTATAACGTGGTAAGGGGAACTATGGGATGCCCTTGCCTCACTGATTCCTAAGGAAATGCAAGATGACTCAACATTCCATCAAATCAGGAAGAGGTGGTGGCAGGACTCCCTTCCTCTCGTAGGACCCTAGCACTTAGCACAGTGTGTTCACTGCTTGCAGAATGCAGAAAAGCCAGAATGTGTCCCTCCTCTGAATGGTCATTCTGTGCCTAAGGGATAGGAGCCTAGCCCCTTAGTATAGCCTCCAGGACGAAGAGGCACAAGGCCCAGGCCTGCTGAGCCAACACCCTCCAGGTGTTTTCTAAAGCAACCCCAAAGATCATAGGAGGTCTGTGACAGGCACATCCTTTCTGCCTGATGGGAGCTGGGCAGACAGTCATATGAAAGGACTGCCCAGAACAAAAGTGACTCAGAGGGGTCACAATAGCATCAGATGGGAAGCTGAGGTTAATGTGCACACATCCTTTCTTAGGTGGAGCAGGTCCTTCCCATGATCTCTCACAAGCTTCTTCCTGCCCCAGTAGATGTCTATCACAGAATTTCAGGCAGCTGACCACCACAATTGTCTGACCTTTGTACCTGTTCACTCTACCCTAGCAGGGAAGTCATAGATATGCTGAGCACGGAGTGAGTGTGTGAGACCATCTCCTTTCTTGCTCAATCTTGTCATGCCAGCCTCTTGCCAGCAGGGGGCCGGATTCTTTGAACATAAACTGGCACTCTCTGCCCTGCTCCAATTCCCAGCCTATTGGAATGTTCAAACTCAAGGGCTCTGTTATCTCCGCTTGGCCACTCAAATTCTAGTCTCTCTCCTCTGTGGGTCTTTGAGTACAACACCCCCTCCCCCTAAATTCCCACACCCTCTGAATCTTATCGTTCCACAGCTTCATCTCTATTTTGGCTAACCTTCCCATTGCCACCCTATCCTTACACCTGCCTGTGCAGGTTGAATCCCTAGGAAGATGTTAATAGTATATGAACATAGTGAAAAAAGCAAGTTACAAAAATATGTATATATTGCCCTGGCCGGTTTGGCTCAGCAGTTGGAGCATAGGCCTGCGGTCCAGAAAGACCCTGGTTCAGGTCCTGCTAAGGGCGCGTACCTCGGT